CCCCTCTCCAGAGCCGCCTCCGGCAGCCCTTAAATCGCCGGAAAATGCATCTTTGCGGGATGTATTCTTCTAATCTGTATTCAGACGAGATGGGGGTTCTAGACCTTCGTATCTCTTGTTAAAGGTGTTACCTAACTCACCTATTGACATGTTGACGGCTAGAACAAAGAAAACAGTTTATTTTCCTTGATTTCGTCCCAAGAAACTTACAAACTGAATGACTCCATTGTGGAATGTTTTTTGGCCGTTTGAATCTGATTTATGACTTTTTTCTTCCGACTAAACAAGAATTAGATATTAGTCAGAAGAATCAACGGTACCGCCTCAATATATAATCTACTGTGCAATGTCAGCTATTAATTTGTTGTGAAGTATATGCCGTGTGTTTTCTGCTTTAAACAACTTTTGTGGTAAGCTCGGTTCCGGAATCGGATCGGATAGGACCCGAACCGACTGAATCAGATCCGCAATAAGTGCAAATTTAAGGATGATGTCCAGAAAATTTTAAAACGTGAGCCATAGTTGCAACTTTGAGTAGATCAGGGACCAAATTTATAATTGCTATTTAAGGGGTGTTCAACTCTTGATAATGATAACCATGAGGTTACGTGTTTGTATATATATATATATATATATATATATATATATATATATATATATATATATATATATATATATATATATATATATATATATATATATATATATATATATATATATATAACCCTAGCTTATTTCATTGTTGACGATAGTAAGCAGAGATGACGGTGAATATCACAGCAATCAAAACCGCATCAGATGGAGTTTGGCAAGGTGACAATCCCTTAGACTATGCATTTCCGTTGTTGATTATCCAAACAACCCTTGTCCTCGCCGTCGGCCGCTCATTAGCCTTCCTCCTCAAGCCTCTCCGCCAGCCCAAAGTCATCGCCGAGATCGTCGTATGTTCCTCCATTTCTCTACTACATACATGTTAATATATTCTTTCAAATCTACAATCACCGGTCGTATGTCTCATTTTTTGCACTTTACCAACTAGAGGTACTGGCCGGAACTTTCCGTGTTAGTCACGTTTTATGATTTTCCGATCAGTACTCCTTTACTGAAAGTTGAGACATTCGTGTTACTTACATTTTACTGCTTAAAATTTATAATCGCATAATTCATTCGGAGAAAACATTTCATCTTCAGGGTGGGATCCTATTAGGACCTTCTGCGTTAGGCCGGAATCAAGAGTATATGCACCGAATTTTTCCCCGATGGAGTTCTCCCATCCTTGAGTCTGTCGCAAGCATTGGACTGCTTTTCTTTCTTTTCTTAGTCGGTCTGGAGCTTGACCTGAGCTCCATTCGCCGGAGTGGAAAACGAGCATTTGCAATAGCAGCCGCCGGAATCTCGCTCCCTTTCATATTCGGTATCGGAGTTGCATTCGTTCTCCGGAAAACAATCGACGGAGCTGATAAAGTCGGCTATGCTCAGTACTTGGTGTTCATGGGGGTGGCTCTGTCCATCACAGCTTTTCCGGTGCTTGCACGTATTCTGGCGGAGTTGAAGCTCTTAACCACCAGGGTCGGCGAGACCGCCATGGCTGCCGCCGCGTTTAACGATATCGTGGCGTGGATATTGCTTGCCCTCGCCGTCGCACTTGCTGGAAACGGCGACGAAGGTGGGCCTCGTAAAAGCCCATTGGTTTCTGTGTGGGTCCTTCTTTCAGGTTTGGGTCTTTCTTTCTATCTACTTTTGCTTTTTAAGTGTCACAAGATTAATGATACATAATCACAAGAAAGTCAATTCTTCATAAATATATGAAGACTTGTAACATGTGATTTTGAAGTTGTACGATCGAGTACAACTCCCACTTCTATGACTTGTAAGACGTGCAACAAGCGAAATAACAATTCGAGTCAAATTGGATGCAACAGTTTCTATATATGTTACATTACATAGATTGATCTTAATTCGTCATTAAGGAAAACAAAAAAAGAGTACCTCAAAAGAAAACGAAACAACTTATTTAGAAAGTATTGAAAATGCATTAAAATGTTTATAACCTTGTTAATAAATAATTATTTTAATAAATTTCTTATAACTATATAATTATTTTAATTAAATTCTTATAACTATATAAAATATCTATGAATTTTAAAATGATAGATATTGACTCAAGAAAAACAAAAAGAACTTGCTCAAATGAAAACTAGAAAAAATCGAAAAAATCAATAAACTCTTTATAATTGTGTTGGTAAAAGCAAAAGAAAATTATTATTTATAATGATGACACTTCAAATAGATAGAAAAAAAGTATCAAAAAGTTCTACTCGTTTTATGCAAAGTCGGCATGTTATTCGACCCAAATAGCTTGTGCATCCACTTATAAGTCTATGGATGAACAAATTTGACGAATTTACATTTTATTTTGCTTATAATAAAAATGGCTTGTTTTTACTCAAATTGATTATTGATTCAAATAGCTTTGTTCGTAAAATTGCAAAAATAAAAAAAATAAAAATAAAAATAATAAAAAATTAAATAGTTTGGTATATTTGATTAATATTTTTTTCAACTTTTTTTCATAATTTTGTTAGGAATTCTTTTTGTAATCTTTATGATGTGATTCAAATAGCTTTGTTCGTAAATTTGCAAAAAAATTAAATAAAAAAAATTAAAAAATTAAACAAATTGGTTTATTTGATTAAAATATTTTCAACTTTTTTTCATAATTTTGTTAGGAGTTGCTTTTGTGATCTTTATGATGGTTGTGATCCGGCCAACCATGAATTGGGTGGCTCATCGGTGCTCACCGGAACACGACACAGTAGACGAGGTCTACATTTGCTTGACACTAGCCACCGTCATGGTTTCCGGCTTCATTACAGATCTCATCGGCATACATTCCATTTTCGGAGCGTTTATCTTCGGACTAACCATCCCCAAAGGAAATTTCGCCGAGAAATTGATAGAAAGAATTGAAGACTTCGTCTCCGGATTGCTTCTCCCACTATATTTTGCTTCTAGTGGTTTAAAAACTGACGTCACAAAAATTAGTGGAGGGAAAGCATGGGGCCTACTAGCGATGGTAATCACTGCGGCATGCGGTGGGAAGATTTTTGGGACTTTTGTGGTGGCGGTGATGTGTATGATTCCAGTGAGGGAAGCACTTACGTTAGGGCTGCTGATGAATACTAAAGGATTGGTCGAACTCATTGTTCTTAACATCGGCAAAGAAAAAAAGGTTAGGGTTTCTTCATTGCAACTCAATTTTCTAATTTCAATTATCAGGCTTCTGACGTTCTTCCATTCGGTCAAACTGATTGCGTAAACCATTTTGTTAGGTTCTGAACGATGAGGTTTTTGCAATACTGGTTCTCATGGCACTTTTCACCACTTTCATCACAACTCCGGCAGTCATGGCCGTCTACAAACCTGCCCGAAGCAGCGGCGGTAGAAGGTCATCCTCCGGGAAGAAATACGATCTCAGAGTCTTGGCATGTGTTCACGGCCCTGGAAACATATCCTCATTGATCAACTTGATCGAGTCAACTCGGTCTGTGAACAAAACCCGGCTCAAGCTCTACGTACTCCACCTGGTTGAACTCACTGAACGTAGTTCCTCGATTGTGATGGTCCAACGGGTCAGAAAAAACGGTCTCCCGTTTGTGAGCCGGTTTAACTACACAGCACGTGCATTTCACGAGAGAGTGGCGGTTGCATTTCGAGCTTATGGCCAGATGGGTCAAGTAGTGGTTCGAACAACCACCGCTGTCTCAGCATTGCCAACAATGCATGAGGATATTTGCCACGTGGCTAAAGAGAAAGGAGTGCCAATGATCATCTTACCATTCCATAAACGGTGGATAAAAACGGAGGGTCCAGATGTGATTGAGAATGTGGGCCATGGCTGGAGAGTTGTCAATCAGAGGGTTCTGAATAAAGCTGAATGCGCGATGGCGATATTAGTTGATCGAGGGCTTGGTGATGAGTCCCAACAAAATGGCTCCGACACCACCGTAGCACAAAAGGTGTGTGTAATGTTTTTTGGTGGACCTGATGATCGTGCATGTTTGGAATTGGGAGGAAGGATGGTGGAGCATCCGGCGGTGAACGTGACGGTTTTGAGATTTGTGGAGGAGAACAGGGCAGAACTCGATGGTGTTGGGCTGAAAACGGCTCCCAGTAAAGGCAGAGATAAATATACCTTCTCTACCACAGTTATCCATCCCGAAAAAGAGAAGGTACAATTTATCTTTTTTTTTTTTTAATAACACATGTTTTTAATAAAAAATATATATATTTTTTATATTCATTCTCTTCAGGAGAGCGATGAAAAGGTGATGGATGAATTCCTGAAAAAGTGGGAAGGAATGGTGGAATACAAAGAAAACAGTGGAAACGACATCGTTGAGAGCATATTGAGAACAGGAAAAAGCGGTGAGTATGATCTGATTGTTGTAGGTAAAGCACGGTGCCCCACGGCTATGGTGGCTAGGTTAGGTGACCGGCAACCGGAGCATGCAGAGCTGGGTCCGGTTGGAGACCTGTTAGCCTCTTCAAACCATGGTGTTGTGTCTTCTGTGCTTGTGATTCAACAACATGATAAAATTGATTCAGAAGAATCGCCAAGTCAGAATGAAGAGGCAGCAAATGAGGTATAGCTACGTGTCATGTTGGAGAATAAGTGCTACGTTAATGTTTGTATTGTAAAAAATGCACAAGAGTGGAAAAGAATCATATATACTTTTTTTTTTTTCAATATATGTTATGCAAGTATTGGAATTCCAATTGAAATTCTTACCAACAATAAACAATTAACAAATGGTTTACATGACCAGAATAATAAAAACGAAAGACAGACCAAAAGAATTTGAACCCTTCAACAATGTATACCATTACAATTACTTCTGTTTTAGTTGGGCAATTAGTTGCCAACTACCCAACTTGTTGACCAATTAATTGTACACATATATGATAATATATAAAGTATAAAGTACAAACCACTAACCTCAGTGAAAGCCTGCCCCAGACCAATCTGATTTCCCCCCAGGGGTTTTACCATTGGATGGTTTCTGGTAGAAACCATCATCATCATCATCTTTATCATCATCCCACCCTGCCCAGCTGTCACCCCCTTTATGAGATGATACACTAGTAGTTCCAGATGTGGGCTTTCTATAACCATCATTATCCCAATCATCCCAACCACCAACGAAATTAGCATTTCTGCCTGATGAGCTCTTGGAAATTCCATTCCTGCCATTGGAGTTGGAGTTGGAGTTGGAGTTGGAATTGGAGTTGGAGTTGAAGTTGGAATTGGAATTCCAACCTTTTGACTCCTGATAAAACCCATCTCTTGAATGTGTTTGGTTCCAGGAGGGACCTTGACCTTGACCTTGACCTTGACCTTGACCTTCTTTGGCATACTCTTCAACCTTCTGTGTAGCCAATGCCATGACACCTCTCATGATGCCCCACGTCATGTGTCCGATTTCAGTTGTTTTTGCAGTCACAACATTCACAGTCTCATTCACCTTGTGATCATAGCCCCCGTCTCTCACCTAAAAATAAAATAAAAAATTTCTAAATTGGTTGGGGTCTTGGGGATAATCACAGATAAAGAAGACCATATGTGTATGTCTGAATCCTTTTTTGTCAAATTATAAACCTTTGTAGTGAATTCCTTAGTACCAGCTTGAACCACGTTGGCAGCTGACTGTGCGGCAGATGCAGCAACAACGGATAACTTCCCAAGTCCCTACACAAACATATGATTTTTCATACAATCAGCATCAAATAACCTATCGGATCAATATCAGATATTTATATAAATATGTATCCTAGTACCCTTACACTGACTCAACTATGTATAATTATTATCGAACACTACATATATGCATCTATCACACATACTAAAAAGAAAAGCTCATTAGGATGTTTATGTGAGATTCAACAAGAGATGATGAGGATAGACACAACAAACAGAAACTAAAATAATCCAACACGATAGAGACGGAAAATGTTGATTCAGAAGATTGGTGCAGTACCTGAGTGACCGAAGATAGAACATCTCCTTGAGAATTACTACGTGGCATGTTATTTGGGGACGATCCGAACCCGACGTACTTCCCACCTTTGGAGGGCGGCAATCCCTCCGGCCTTGATTCGTTCTCCGCCATCCTCCTTGCGAAAAAATCCTCCTTTGAGGCAGCAGACGCCTCTAATTGCGACTGTGTATACAAACTCTGCGTCGATCTTGACCTAGCCGGCGCCCCACCACCACCGCTACCGCTCCTGAAATCTCCAACCGTCTGATTCCTTCTCATATTATCCGCAGATCTGAAACCATCATCATCGAAACTGTTATCCCCCCAATGATCATCCCACCCACCAACTCCCTGATTATTACTAACCTTAGCCCCACCCCCGCCCGGCATTGGCGGTTTCTTTTTACTGCCACCTTTGATCGGGCTCTCCTTCACAACCGGCGGATCCCGCCATTGTTTACCTTCTGCCAGGGCTTGGATTCGGTCGCGATAAACCGATGCCCCGTTGGAATTATATTTCGGAATTATGTCGGTTTCTTTCGGGATACCATACTCGGCCAAAAAATTGTTAAGCTTTTCGTTGCCGCCGGATTCCATTTTACGGAGCTGGATCTCGGACCATGAATCCATGGTGACCGATCGCACAAAGGAGATGTGCACACCGAGGCCACGGTGCTTGCCGGAGCACTCCAAGCACATAAAAATGCCATAGGATACGGATGCCCATTGAGGGTTCTTTTGTGAACAATCGACGCAGGTCCTGTTGCCTGGTTGCGATTGTAGGTCACGGAGACGCCGTGATGCCGCCATTGTCAATTTTACGCCGATGAGATCCGATCGGCGCTCGATTGTACTCGGATCTGCGACAAAGAATTTGATGAATTCAAATTTTATCAGGGAGATCTGTTAGGGTTTACGTTTCCGGAGATAGAGAAAGAGGTTATGCGGATTTGCCGACAACGTCGGCAAATGATATTGGGCTGATCTATTGCGGCAGCGAATTGGGGGTGAACGCTATATTTGATTTCCAGATGGGATGATGTCATTGAAGGGGTATTTGCTATAATTGAGTTCCAGATATGATGTCATTTAAGGGGGGGTGTTTAATTATTAAATATGCTTATTAATTTGTTTTGTTAATAGAGTAAGTATGCTTATTAGTTTACTAGTGTAAGATTCATATGGGTTTTATTAGTTTACTAGTTTATAACTAGTGGAAATCGTAGTTATAAAATTAATCAAAATTTTATAATAAAACTTAAAATTATTAATAAGTTATTTTAAATAAATTATTAATTTAAAAGATATATTTATTAGTTATGTGAAATTATAATCATTGATTCAAATAAATATATAAAATTAATTTTTAATATATATTAGATATTTTTTATTTGTGAATTAATGAAAACAATAATTTAAAGTTTAAAATTTAAAATAGAATCATATTAATGAGTATAGAAAACTAATAAATTGACAAGTGGCAACACATTAATTAAAATGTTTAATATGATGACACATGGCAAAAGAGCTACTCTTTTATTAGTATAGCGATAGGGACTAGTGTAAGTTACATATATAATATGGGTTAATTTTAAAGAAAAATAATGAAATTTTAAACATTCGAAAAGTTTGAATTTATAAGAAAAAAATATAAAAATATTAAATTATTAAAATTAAATTGTTTGTTTTTCTTTTAAATTAAACAAATAATTTAGATAGATAAATAAAGAAAACTAACGAAACTTTAATTTAGAAATTTTGAAATTAGAAGTAAATCAATTAATAAAATTGATATAAATTTATTATTATATTTATTGCAATTGTTATATTTAAATATTATGTGGAACTTGATAAAATGAAAAAAAAAAAAAAACAAAACAAAATGTCATGTGGAAAAAATTAATTAAAAATAACCACAAAATGATATGTAGCCAAATCAATGAGAGTGTGATATTTGATAAAAAAAAATTATTTATTAGGGAGGATGTATGTATTATAAAACTAGGTATGAGACTCATGTATTACATGTGTTATTTAAAAGAAAAACTAAATACAAAATTTTAAACATTTGAGAAATTGAATTTATAAGAAAAGTGAGAAACTATTAAATTATAAGAATTAAAGTGTTTTTTTTTATTTTAAATTTAAACAAATAATTTAGATAAATAAATAAAGAAAATTAATGAATCTTTATTTTATTAATTTGAAATTAAAAGGAAAATTAATTAATGAAATTGATATGCATTTATTATTACTTTTAAATACTATTTGGAATTTAATAAATTGAAAAAAAAATGACACATGGAATAAAAATTAATTTAAAATAACCACAAAATTATATGTAGCAAAATAAATAAGAATGTTATATGTAGCAAAAAAATCTTTTATTTATTAGGGAGGAAATAAATATTTAAAAATATATTTGGATTATTATTATTATTATTATTATTATTATTATTATTATTATTATTATTTTATATATATATATACACACACACACACACATATATATATATATATATATATATATATATATATACTAATTTACAAGTGCCAGGTGAACAGTACTTTGGTCTCATTGGTTGATTTTTTTTTATCCATTTTCATATTCTATTCTTATACTGATTTACTTTCCATATATATTTGATATTTGATATTTGTATTAAAAATATGTTTGGATTAATTTAAGAAGTTATAAGTTGATAAAATTATATATATATATATATATATATATATATATATATATATATATATATATATATATATATATATATATATATATATATATGCATTTTACAGTTATTTTGAATGAATAAATCATATGCACTTTTGAAAGGTAATGATTATATGATTTTTCAAAAACTCCATTTTAATGATTTTGAAAAAAAAAAAAACCAAAAAAAAAACTTATTCATTTGTCAAACACTTTTTTAAACTATGGGCTTAAAGTTCATTATCTCATGTATAAAAAAGTCATTTTAAGAAAAACAATAGGTAAACCAGTTATCTTGGCCTTGTCTTTAGTGAGATAGTCATGTAAATACTTTCCCTTTTTCTTTCAGTTGACATCAATCTTCTCTTTCCACCATCGGTCCTCATCTGAAACTTAATAACATTTTCACACACACATGAAGGCTTTATGGCTTTTTAACTTCATCAAGCAATCGTAGCCCAAAAACCAAAAATCAAACAGATTTAGTTGATGGCTTGATGTTGGTGGGGTTAGTATTGGAGTTTCTAGGTTCAGGAGTATAGGTGATAGGGTGTTATGGGTTGCCTTCGAATGTTTGGTAAAAATGTTGTTTCAAGGGTACTTATTGATCGTATAGGCACTTGGATTTGTGTTGCACTTTTGTTTGCCGCCCATTATTTGTGATTTGATTTCTTTCGATGTTTATATTGATCAAAGGTTAGGGACTATAAAGAGAGAGTAGATTAATGGGTCTTCTTATGGATAACATGAATCTATGGGATTTGTTGATCATAAATAAAAACTAATATAAGTTGTAATCATGTCATGAAGCACTAGATTACACTTTGTGTAATGTCCCAAATTTCACAATAAAATTTTCATTTATAAAATAGAATAAACACCCATTTTTTATAAAGATATAATCAATGTAATACTATTTGTTCATAAACTATAATCTAAAATCACAATTATAAGGAAACTCAACGCGGAATATCGAATCATAAAATCGTTCATGTGTTTGAAAAGTACTTGGAAACATTTAAGCATACATCCACAACTATAATCCAAAGCTTAGTAAGTTCCCCAAAATACCACATACAATAATATACATATAAGCATGCATCCAACGAGTGTCTAGGCTCACAACACTTTAGTTGATCTTGCCATCAACTTGACCCTTATGAATGTCTACACTTTAACACTTTTGTAACATCTAGGATTAATAAGGTACTAATTATATTAGAATTATTAGCTTAATGAATGGAAGTGGTTTGGGCTTGGACCATTGGATCCTTATGATTAGGCTGAGAAGTGACATACACGGGGCGTACTGTGCCAAGTACGCTCAGCATACTCATGAGACGAAGACTCGCATGTCATGCACGTACTCCCAACGTACCAAGAGTACGCGCAGCGTACGTATGCGGATTCTAAAACACTAAATTTTAGGGTTTGATCCCTATATAAAGGACCTTATGCCTTTGGTCCAGTCTCCCTCTTCCCTTAGATAGCCACCATGAAAACCCTAACCTATATTTGTGTGTTCTTGTGATTTGGTAGCCATTTGAGAGCATTTTAGTATTGTTTTGGTGTTTTGGAAGAGAAAGAAGTTTGAAGAAGGAGCAAGGATTCAAATAGAGCTTGTAGATCCAGGATATTAGCACCATTTCTGACTCATTTGAGGTATCAAGCTTCAAACTTGATCATTGCATGCTTAGATTTGATTTTGGGGTGTTTTATGTCACTTTTGGACTCCATTGTTGAGGTTGCTTGAATTTTGATAGTTTCAGACCATAAGAGCTGTAATTTTGAGATCTTAGAAGCACTTAGAGTAATAAAAATTAGACCTTGATGGTTAAGACACAACCATGCAAGTGTTTAATGGCCACAAAGTTTGGTTAAGGACAAAAATCATGTTTTGACCCCCAACCATGCATGCAAGCACATAAAGTTTATGACTTTATGGACTAGGAGGTCTTAAGGGACCTGGATCTACATTCTGGACCTGAGGACTTAATGGATTAAGTCACAAATGGAGCCCCAAGGAACTGGCCGGTACGTCGGTCGTACACCTTGGTACGCTGCGTGTACTGGGTCAACTTCCCGCTTTTGGTCAAGGCCAGCGTACGTTGGGCGAACGTGCCAGGTACGTCGTGCATACGCATGTAGAGTGGAGAACTTGGCCTTTTTGGGCCTTAGAAGTAGGCTTAGAAATTGGGATGGGTTTGGGTTGGCGGATCACAGGTTGATGGGTTTGCGGGTCACGGGTTGATGGGTTTCCGGGTCAGAAAACATAAACTCAACCGAACTCATATAATATATTGGTTGGCGGGTCAAGGGTTGGTGGGTTGGAAACATCAATCCAACTCAACCCATATAATCCATTTAAGTATATAGGTTCGCGGGTTCACAAGTTAATGCGTAAAACCCAACTCATATAACACGTTTAATAAATAAGCAATACATTTTAAAAATTGAGGTTTTGTCAACTTAAATTCATAAAATGATTAAAGTAATTAACATAAAAAAGGCTTTCAACATAAATTCATAAAGTCAATAACATCCAAATAAAATTGAAAATGAAAATATTCATAGAAAGTGAATGTGTTCTTCGTTCATGACGCGTGAAAATAACGACATGTATTTTTCCTTTTTCTAATTAACGAACCGCAAATGCATATTAGTCACATACGAATACGGATGGAATATAATGATACAAAATATTACGAATACGGATGAAAATCAAATTTCATTAATAATTAAATATATCATTTTTTTAATATATATATATATATATATATATATATATATATATATATATATATATATATATATATATATCAATTTTTTTAAGTGTAATATATCATTTTTTAAATGTAATATATATATATATATATATATATATATATATATATATATTTAAATGTAATATATATATATATATATATATATATATATACGGGTTGGCGGGTTGACCCGCGAACCCAAACAGATAACCCAACTCAATCCATAAAATCAACAGGTTGGTTGGTTGGCGAGTTGATGGGTTGGCAGGTCAAAAATCTCAACCCAAACCCGCCTATTTTCGAGTTAAGTCAGTGTCAGGTTACGGGTTAGGTCGAGAGTTGCCACCCCTACTTAGAACTTGGGCTTGGATAGTTGGGCCCTATGGCCCACTGTGGGGTAGAGTTTCTAGACCTAGAACTAAGATTTAGAGTATTGGGCCACTCGGAATCATTTATTTTGGGCTAAGGATTTATTGGGCTTGTGATAAGGCCCATTTGAGGAGTTGGGCCTATTTTAGAAAATTAGGCCATTAGTGGGGTGGGAAAGATAAGATGGAATTGGTCCTTGTGTATGGTCCAAATTAGACCAAGGGGTAAAG